TTCCAACCTCTATGATTCTATGATAATAGAATGTAATAGTGTCACACACTGTAAATATCACAGAATCATAGAATGGTTTGGGTTGGAAGGGACCTTAAAGATGATCTTGTTTCAACCCACCTGCCATGGGCAGGGACACCTCCCACTAGACCATTGCTCAAAGTCCCATCCAACTTGGCCTTGAACACATCCATTGATGGAGCATCCACAATTTCCCTGGGCAAACTGTTCCAGTGTCTCACCACCTGTATAGTAAAGAACTTCTTCCTAATTTCTAATCTAAATCTACCCTTTTCCAGTTTGAAGCCATTACCCCTTGTAAAAAGTCACTCCCCAAGTTGCTTGTATGCCCCCTTCAGATACTAGAAGGCTGCAATAAGGCCTCCCCATAAGAGACCCTTCTCTTCTCCAGACGAAACAATCCCAATTCTTTCAACCTGTCCTCATGGGATGACACTGATCATCTTCATGGCTCTCCTCTGGACCCACTCCAACAGGTCCCTGTCCTTCTTGTGCTGGAGGCTCCAGTGCTGGACACAGGACTCCAGGTGGGGCCTCACGAGAGTGGAGTACAGGGGCAGAACCAGCTCCCTCGACTGCTGCCCACACTTCTTTTGATGCAGCCCAGGATACAGCTGACAAATACAATTTGCTGCAATTGATTTATTTTTCTTATTGTATTGAAGGGCTGCAATCAAAGCTTTTATGTTCACCTGGGGGAAGAAGAGTCTCTGTTGAGATGTCTTTCTCTCCTTCTTTGCCTTCCCACCATCCCCATCAAATTTCTGTTCCTTCTGCTACCGTTCCCAGATGACTGAGGATAGTATGGGCTGACTTAAGATTTCTTTCTGTTCAATTTTCAGTGATGTACACTGAGAAGTTTATGTAATTTGAAAATCCAGCACAGCTGCTTGCCTAGTCACTGTAAGCTGAGCTGGTGGCCATTTTTAGTAAGATAAGCATCCAAGTTTCTTATGAGGTGAAAAGTTGGCCTGCTTTTCTTTGCTTGCAATTGTACACTTGCATTACCTTAAGAAGGAAGGGACTATCTGGAGAGAGATGGGAAATGAGCTTATTATAGAATATTACCTTCGCTATTCAGCATGATTTTCAGTGGCTTTAGACCTCCACACACAATGTCAGTGGAGTGAGGGCACATTACGTGTGGAGAAAACAGCTCCTAACATCTTCTGTGGAGCTGGAGATCATAAATCAGCTCCTGATGAAAATTTGTGAGAACCTGGTCCCTGAGCTCTGTCCCTTGTCACTGGCAGATAGATACCGTGTTCAAATAGTGACCCGTGAAAACAAGGAGTAAGAAGAACAATAAAGCCATCGATGCACAACAAATGAGCAGCTTCTTCCCTCCCAGCAAGCTGAGTGTTGTTATTCAAAGCCTACACCGCAGGGAGAGCTCTCTTCTCTGCTGCTGGGCTTTGGGCAGCATCTGATGGGTTGGGTGTTTGGGGTTTATTTTAATATTCTGTGTATTTGGATGCTATCTTCTTGGGGTTTATTTTCTTGTTTACTTGGGATTTGCATGTTAAGCAGCTGGGAAAGAGGGCACTGTAGCATAGGGGTTACTGTAGAGTCTGGCAGAGAGCTGGACTGGAGTGGTGGAGGTTTAGGAGGCAGATATGAAGCCATCACGTTCTCCTAAGCCTGGCTTCAGCTTTCCCTGCCCCTCTGCTCTGCATCACAGTCTACGTGTGTACACACCATCCCCAGTGGGAAAATCATCTTTCTTGCAACAGACAGCATTTGTGTGGGAATAAATAACCAAGGCAAGGAGAGTTGCTCCCTTGTTCTGGCTGTACTCAACCATCACATTTCTGGATTTTCTTTGGGTTTTATTTCTTCCATCAGTGCACATCTGCCTGCAGCACAGGTTATCTGTGTTGGCGTGGGCTGAGGGCTTTGGTACCATTCAGCTCTTCACTGCTCAGCCAGCAGCTGGAGAGAGGCTGTTGCTTTTGGGGAACTCCCTTGTCTCCCTTTTTGTCACTGCCAACATGCAGAGTAAGATTTGAAAGCCCTCAAACTGCCTAAGGAACAAGCCTTGGACCAATCTGTGGTCAAAGCCAATAAAGAAGAACGTTGCCGATGCTTTGTGCGTGACTGGTGTGATGAGATGCTGTGCAAGCAGTCAGTGCTGGCTGTGCTGAAGAGGGGGCAGGGGGTCAAATTTTAGGAAATAAGGACCTCACTGTTCAAGCAACAACTGCACTAAATAGTAGCCGAAGTTCACAAGGTCAGTGGAAGTGCTCACTGTGACTTCAGTAAGCTTGGGCTCACCTTTGGGTAGCTAGCTAGTAGATAATAAATTTACAACAAGTGTTCCAGCCAACTTGTATTGTAGCCTTGAGCTCAGAAAAGCAATTTCTGTTTAGAAGTAGTGGTCTGTAATGATGTACTTAATATTTATCTTGGCAGTAAATCGGAAAGGTACCGAACTGCTGAAATCCATTAAATTAAATCAAATGTAGAGACATAAAAAAAAAAATCCAGGCAATGCCAAGGAGTTAGAGAATAACACATGAAGCAAAAATTCTTCCAGAGATAATGACCGAATACCACGTCATTGCTGGCAGAAGCACAGATTCATCTGGCTTGGACATTTCTGGGGTTTTGTGCAGCAGCACAGCGTGAGCCGCTTGGGGTGGGATGCTGCACGGGTGGAGGGAGATTTTCCCTTGCTTCCTGGCAGTGAGGTGCTACTGCCTTGGACTTCAAATGGTTGTGGCTGTCAGTCAGGGACACTTTGATATGCACCACTCTGAGCAGAGCTTCAGTGGCTGGGAAGTTTTATTTACAGTCTCTCAGAGGAAATCTCCGTGGGGAGAGCTGCTGGATGGATAGGATCTGGGGGAAGGGAAAGGCAGGGAGCAGCACAGAGGGGAGATGATGACTTGACAGAGGCTTTCTGGAGAGAGAAGGTGGACTTTTATCTTCAGATAATATGAAAACTGTAGTCTTTTAGTGTCTGTACGTATTTCTGTTGTTCCCTGCAGTACAGACCATTTCTTGGGCATATTTAGGTCATGGTAGTGTTTCTATAATGCAGTGCTTCTTTTGCAAACTTCTTGATGATAATTGAAGTTACCATTGACACAACCCAACCTCCTACCCCAGTGTAACCTTTGGGTTCAGAAAAAGCATAAGAAGTCTTGCTGAGAACTGTATTTCTCTTGCTTAAATAGGCATGTGAGTGCCTGGGAGACTGAACACAATAGGAAAGAATTAAAGACAGCCTATGAGACTGGATATCATTCAAATGAATGTGGAGCAATCCCTTGTTTATCAGCTGAGTCTCTATGTCTGTCAAAGGATAAAATAGGAGATGTTGCTGTGCAGTATTCATAAACTGTGCCCTCAACATTTCCCAGTTAGAAAAGCATACAGAGAAATTATCCAGCATGAACAGAACCATGTTTAACATTACCAAAAAAAAAAAAAGGTCGGAATATGCATCTATTCGTGTAATGATATGGATTGAAAACAACAACAATCTGTGTGTCTTACCAGTGAAAGTATACCCCTAAAAACAGCTGCATCCTTTATGAGCTGGTGAGTGTGGGACCTCTCTGGCTAAGTTGCCAGTACAAAGGAATGGAGATGTTTACCACCTGTGTTTCCCCTTGTTCCTTCAATGCACACAGAATTTTCTTAAAAGTGAAAAAACTACTGCAAGAGGATGAAAAACAATATATCCATTGAGTGGAAACACCAAACAGAGGTTCTGTTGTCCGTGGGCTCAGTTAGAGCATTTTATCCTCTCCCAAGGTAGTGCATTTCTTTGGCTGAGTTGCTCACACCAGGACTGGGTCTGTCTCCCAATACTCAGGTGTGGGACTTGAACTGAATTTTAAAAATTGAGGAGAGTGTGTAAAATGCCATGCTGAGGGTAACTTGGAAAGGGGAGGGAGACAGTGCTTCTCCCCACAACCCCCTTGGTGGTTTTCTTTTGAAAACCTGACTTGGCTGGAACAGATCTGTAACAGTTGGGTTCTTATATTCATTATTTTTCCTCCTGTGTTTTCTAAAAGTAGTGTTTTGATTCAGTCACAGGGTGCTATCCTGTCTCACACATGGGTTTAGAAGCAGGAATATCTCTTTTGTCAGGATCTGGGTTTCTCCCAAATGGAGCACCCACCCAAGTGCAGCTGGCTGGGTGGGAAGGAGCAGTCTGCATTTTTAATACCAAAAGCAACACCCTGAAAGAAAACTCCTGCCAGTATGTAACACTCGTGAGTCAAACCTAGATGATGGATGGAATTTTTTATTTTTTTATTTTTTCTGTATGTCTCACTGTCCCTGGCACAAACAGAAAGCTTTTCAGAGGAGGAACACCTTCAAGTCCTCTGCTGGGGTACAGTCCTTGTTTCCAGACAGAATTATCCTTCTGCTCTGAGCCAACATATTGTGATGGGATTTTGATGCCTTCCTTTTTCTCAGCCCATTAATCCTTCTGTGAAGTGCCTGCCCCCTCTGTTGCTCGGCGTGCCAGCCAGGCAGGGTGCAGGGTGTGCCAGACCTGGGAATTACATGTCCATGGGGAAGATTCCTCACACGCTCCCAAGCGAAAGAGCACGGGGGTCAGGAATTTAAAAGAAATGAGTTATTGAGTTCCTTTCTGTCTCAGAAGTGATTATGTGGTTTTATTGCATGACTGAAGTGTGGGATATTTCTGTTGCTGACAGGGAAGGCCGCTCTAATGCTCACATTAAAGGAGATTACCAAAGAATTGGAGATGTTATGCTGAAGAACATTCAGAGTATGAAGGTAAGAGTGATCCTATAACTATTAAGCTTTGACACGGCTTAGAATTATTGTGCTTTTCATCTTCCTATGATGTTGCCTTTTGTGCTGTTTTTTGCCAATTCTAATCAAGGCTTATGCCATAAAGATTTCCTTTTATGAGGTAGCTAGGGTTTGGTGAGCCCTGAGATTTCAGAATTGCAACCTGATTTTAACTTGTCTAGCCCTGTTACTCAGTCTTTCCTCAAAATACAAGACCAATGAATACAAAAGCCCAGGAACATTTCTTTTAAAGTTCTTTTTTCTTTGAAATAAGAAGGCAAAACTTTGGCACTTGTGTGGCTGAACTCTTCAAACGCAGAGTGTGCCTGCTCGTTCGTGCAAATATAAGTTAAGGTATTGCAGGAGAAGTGACCCTAACTTGGATGTTGATTTAGGAAACTTACATTTGTGTACTGTGGTGCCACTTTAGATGAAAGGTTTTTTAATAAATGTGAATAGTTGCCTTTGATCCCTTTAAAACTAAAAGCTAAAGTACACATATGAACTTTAGGTGTAATGTTCAGCAAACTTTGCATCTGTTCTTAGTGTGTCTGGAGTGGTATTTTTGATGCTCTGTGTTGCTGAACAAACAGCATGGGAGGCAGGCATGGGAGCCTGTGAAAACCCTGCAGACTTTTACAGCAAGGATGGATAGCACATAGCTCACCTTTTTAGCATGGCTAGGTTCCCAGGTCACTGTGTGTCAAAACATGGCACTGCACCTTCAGCAATGGGGATCTCAAAGTGCTTTCAAAGCTATCTGATGTCTTGCCCTGGTGATGCCACTTTGGCATTCTGCAGCTGGTAAATGGAGCAGCCTTGAGTCTGTGGCTGGAGGAAGGGGTGGTTTAATCTTTGCAGCTCTCCCAAGACAGGAGTTAGTACTAGGTCTATCTTTCAGAAGGACAGGGAGAGACAAAGAGAGGTTAAGTGATCTGCAAGTGAATTTACAGCAAATCAGAAAAGGAGCATGTGGAGCTCTTGATTTATGGTCCCCAACACAGACCACAAGCAGCTTTGTCACCAGTAAGGTGGCCTTACCCTTTCTGCAATGTGCTTGGCAGGAACTGCTCTTTCTCCCCAAGACACAATTCAGAAGCATTGGAACACATGCACAGGGGACTTTTCTACCTCCATCCCTGCTCTCAAGACATACTTTTCACAAACAGTTTTGGAATCTCAGCTTCTGACAGACTCTGCTCCTGCCCTCAGTACCTTGCAACATTGAATTGTCTGTCCTTCCCTGCCTACAGTTCCTTCTCTGGCACCAGCTTTATGGCACAGTATGCTTTTACCTTTGCCATTCTCCCTTTCCCATCAGATTTTGTTCTGTTTACTTTGGGAACCACCACTGCTCATAGCATAGCTATTTGGAGGAAAGAAGCAATGCCCAGTTCAACTTGAAGAACTGCACAGGAAACAATGAAGTTACTTAAAATTCTCCATATTTATCACGAGGTCTGTAAAAAGACCTGAAAACTGACACTTGTTTAATTAGCAGAGGAAAAAAGTTGAGAGCAAGTAATTAATGGGCAGCCTCTGTAGCAGTCCAGAGGGTCTGCTGTGTCCTGGCCTGAGTTAACAGGCTGTTAAGATGGATATGCAGTGTATGGAGGAAGCAGCTGGGCTGTAGGCAAGGTATGGTTCTGGTAAGGACATCACAAATCACAGGAGAGAGGGAGTCGATTGGAAATGTGTCAAAAGGCTTTAGATGAAGCTAAACTGTCTTCTCAAGTCCATGCAACACACTCATTAAATTTCTTTTTGTTGCGGGTTAATATTCTGCCAGTTACTGGGAGACTGTTTGGCTGCTCAGAGAAGCTCTGGGCATGCTGAAGAACCACGTTACCTTTTCCAAAACACAAATGAAGCGCCTGTGTTAATTGTTCAAAAAAACCCTGCTGAATTGTTTTAAATGGGTATTGTGAACGCCTGGGGTACTGGGACCTAAGTGGAGTTACATATTTCATGCAAGCCTCATTCGCTTGCTGGCGTGTAGCTCCCCTGCTGCCAGTGGGATTATCTTGGAGGCTGCACTGAGGAGAAGGGGAATCCAATCCAAGGATGGAGAACTCTTGACATGCACATTTCTGTCGGACAGCTCCTCTATTTTTGCATTCTTTTGGATCTCAGGAGATGCAATTTGTTGTTACTAACAGGGTAGCAGAAGCCAGAAGTCTGTTTGGCTGCATCTGAATTCCCCAAAAGCACCTGAGGGAACTGAGGGAACTAAATCCCTTCATCCTCCTAGAAAATGCTATCTTGTTTCTGAGCTCTGCATTTACGCTGTCCAGCTCTCTCCAGGTTGCACCTACTTGCCTGAGCTGTGTTCATGTCATCTTGCCTTTAGATTTCTCACTGATATCAGACTTTTTTGTTTCCTCATGTTCCTTTGTTTTTCAGGGAATGCAGAGGGGATGTACTTCAAATGAGTAATGCCATTTCTCCTTTTCAAGTGAATATCAGAGCCGTTGTGTTGTACAGTGATTTCCTTTGCAAAATCCAAACTGCTGTGCTGGTTGGATTTTTTTACTGGAATAAGTTTGGCTGAGTCATGTCTCACAGTGATTGCTAATAGTTCTACCACATGCTCTTTCTTTCTTTGTGCCTATAAGCAACTGACAATTCACCTGTGGAAGCACAATGAGATTTTAATTGAGTTGGAGAATGGGATCAAGAACTCTCGCAAGCTGGAGATGTTTTGCAGGGATTTTGAGCTACAGAAAGTCTGCTACTTGCCTCTCAATACCTTCCTCCTCAGACCTTTACACAGGCTTATGCACTACAAGCAGATAATGGAAAGGCTTTGCAAACACTACCCACCAAGCCACATAGACTTCAGGGATTCAAGAGGTAAGTAAGAGAAAAGACAGCATTTCCTGCAGCTGGGGAATGGCATCCAAATGCATTGGAGGTGTATGGATGACCAAAAGAAAAAAAATCTGTTGGTTTGGGGCTTTTTTTAAGCCTACATTGAAAGGAGATTGTGTTGCAAAATCCAGCACTCAGAAGACCAGAAATGGTAGGATTAAGGTTGCTCTTGTATATGTGTTATGCCACAGTCTGGACAAGTACTTGAAGGAGAAATCTGCTGGGGGTTATTAAACACACAGAAATGACATGCAGTTCAGGAAGTCACTTGAACTGAAAACAGTTGGGAGGCTGGGAGAGAGCAGAGGGAACATACCATATGTGCTTGTCTTGTTCCTAGCTTTCCCTAGAGATCCTCTAGGAACACAGAATATTGGCCCAGGTGAACCCTTGGTCTGACCCAGTATGACTGCTGCTATTATGTCTTTAAGTGTTATTTGTCTTTTTTCCCAGACATACAGTTTGCTCTATTACTATTCCCATGATTTGTTTCAGAAACTCAAAGCTGCCAACTTGTTTTTTTTTTCCAAACATGAAGAAATTTTCCTCCTGTAGTCAGAACTCACTGCCTGCTCTTTCCTTCCAACGATTCGTTTTCCTCCTTTCTAACCCACATCCCCCACCCCTGTTGCATCCATCCACCTGCATCCGAGAGTAACTGTGTTGTCTGTACAGTCAGCACTGGGTGCAGATCCGGGGAAGGACTCTGGCAGGGAGCAGTGGGAGCAGAGCTCGGCGTGGCTGCTCCCAGCCGCGAGGTGCCGGCTGAGTTAGGTGGCCGAGTTCCCTTCGGTGCCATCTGATGAGACCCACAGCAGGCAGTGCACAAACTGTGGAGGTAGCTTGACCTGTAGCAGTAGGAAATGCCACAGAGGTCTGTGGCACTGAAGTGCTGTGCGAGACTAAATGTAGCTACTGCCTGAAGGATCTCAAGGAATACAGTGAGCAGTGCCTTCATTTCCTCTCACCAAGGCTAGATGATGGGGATGATGTGTCCACTCTGGCCTCCCCAGACTGTGCAGCAGCCATCATGGTTTGATTCCTTCTCTGCTTTTGAAATGGATGAGAACACAGGATTCAGGGGTGAAAATAAGAGAGTGTGAGAATGACAGTGTGACCCATCATTCTGGAGTCAGTCTCTAACTAAGATTTTTGTTAAAGGTCAGAGTATAAAGGAAGAAGAAGAAAAAGGAGGTGTGGATGTGAAACCCAGCAGAGAGCAGAGGTCTTCCACTAACAGGTGGATGAGCAGTGATATTAGCAGGAGGAACCACAGGAACTCTTCCTTTAGCTGTATTTTTTTAACACAAATGACTGTAGCTGCTCTTCTAGCGCTCAGGTCAGTGAGTGTGTTGGACCCATTCAGAGGCTGCCATCTGTTCAGGTGTATCAGGGTTGATGCTGATGTACATGGTGATGGGAGCCAGTCTGTGAGCTGGTCCTCCAGAAGGCATCAAGTGGCAAAGTGATTTTCAGCCTAGTTGCCCAAGTTCATTTGCTGTGTTGTTGGCACAGCAAAGAAACAAGACGTGGGGAGCAGATGGGCAGCAGCCTGGAGTTGATGTAGCTTTTGCTGCCTCAGTGGGACTTCATATTGCCTGCCTCCTCCTGTACCCCAGCTGATCCTTCTTCACACAGCAGACATCCCCTTTGACAATGGAGGTGTTTGTTAGGAGAATCACTCCCGGGTGGGAGGTCACTCAGTGGTGGTGGTGTCCTTGGAGAGAATGACAGAGAGCCACGATGTGACTCGGCAGCGTGCAGCCCTTTCCGTTGTTCTCAGTGCTGGGACTGAAGACAAACCCACAAGTTTACTGTATTTGCCCTCTGAAAGGATGCAATAAATGACACTGCCATTTCCTGGTGTTCTCAAACATGGACCTGACACAGTATGCTGCAGGCAAGGAGGGAAAAGACATTTTTTTCTCAAGCATAGAGAAGATGTAGGAAATTAAATCCTTTAGGAGAACTCATTCATTGGTGTTCTGGATTGACTCAAGTATTTCTACAAAGTTCCTGTGGCTAAAATAGAGCAAACTTTTAGTTGAGGAAACAGACTGTCTCTTCATTACAACACTCCACCATCTCCTGTCCACTCCAGAAGATGATGTTCAGAGTTTGTGCAGTTTTTAGTCTGCCTGAGTAGCTTTACACTGTGAAGGTGGAGGTAGCACAAAAAGGGTGGTGTTTATGAGCTTAGTGCTGCAGACAAAAACCCTCTTTCTTTTTGAACATTCTTGTAAATTTTTAATAAGCATTTTATGGTTTTGGCCATCTAGCTGCTTTGGCTGAGATTTCTGAAATGGTGGCTCAGCTCCATGGCAATATGATAAAGATGGAGAACTTCCAGAAGCTTCATGAACTCAAGAAAGACTTGATAGGCATGGACAATCTGGTGATCCCAGGAAGGGTGAGTAGCAGAGCTGTGATCAAAGTCTGACACAGTTTCAAAGCACTAGGTATGTTGTAGAAACCTGTGTACTAGGAGCAGCTGTGAAATTGCCTTTTCTCATATAAACCCTTTTCTTTTACACAATAAAAAAAAATCAAATGTAAAGATAATAATACCAAAGAAAACTTTTTAAGCAGGAGAAGGCAATCATCTTCATTACTTTTTTTACTGATTTTATTAGGTTTTTCTTATGGACAGTTGTAGGCAACTCCAAGCATCTATTACAGCAGAGGTGGTAAAAATGTTGCATTATCACAGCGTTCTGAGCTTGAGCAGTTCCACATTTCCTCATTTCTTGCTGCCCTTGATTTTTTTTTTTCTTTACTTTTCAATCCTCTATGCTGGAGCATGGCAGGTTGAGCAGAAGCAAGATATTTGTGCTGGAGGACCTTCAGCCCTTCCACTATGCCTAGCTTTGAAACTCAGGGCCTTGGGGACGAGCAGTCTCTGTAGATTACATGTAACATTAGGCGATAGTTTTTTTAAACAATGTTGCCTTAAGTAAACACTTTTAATTGTGCTATAAAGATAGTAACATCTCTTTCTTACTTGTCATGATTTTTGAAAAAGGGAGGCTGATTTCAGAATTAATGAGCCTCTGTGCAATATTTGCAGCATTTACTTTTCTGGGCACACCTTCCTGTGCATGCAAACCTGAGAGCTTTCTGTTGTTGGAATAGTTTGCCTCCCTACTCCACTGACTTTTGTGGTAATGCACAAAAACAGTTATTTCAGAAACTGAAATGCCAGGGAAAATGCATTGCTAGACTGTAGAATCATAGAGTCATTTTGGCTGGAAGAGATCTTTAAGGTAATCGAGTCCAACCATTAACCCAGAACCACCAGGTCACCACTAAACCATGTCACTGGTAAAACCCATCTACATGTCTTCAGGGATGGTGACTCCACTGTTTCCCTGGGCAGCCAGGACCTTTACAGCTCCTGTGAAGAATTTTTTCCTCATGTCCAGCCTAACTCTGCCCTGGTGCAACTTGAGGCCATTTCCTCTTGTCCTATGACTTTTTACCTGGGGGAACAGACTGACACCCACCTCACTACAACCTCCTTTCAGGTAGATGTAGAGAATGGTAGGGTCTCCGCTGAGTCTCCTTTTCTGCAGGCTGAACCACCCCAGTTCCCTCAGCCAGCCCTCATAAGACTTGTTCTTCATACCCTTCACGAGCTCCATTGCCCTTCTTTGGATTCTCTCCAGCACCTCAATGTCCTTCTTGTAGTGATGGGCCCAAGATTAATTGCAAAAAAACCCCTGACTGCTCTCACCCCTTATGCATTTCTGGGAAACAGCCTGGAAAAAAAGAAGAGCTGAGTTTTGCCTTGAAGTGCAGCTGCAGGAGCCCTTGCCCTTGCCCTTGCCCTTGCCCTTGCCCTTGACCTTGCCCTTGCCCTTGCCCTTGCCCTTGCCCTTGCCCTGCGGGCTGGCCAGCCAGCCCTGAAAGGCTCCCTGAAGGGGCACGAGCCACAACCCGGCACA